CTGCGCTCCTCTGTACGTCGTCGCTTTATCACCTGAAAACACAAACGTGAGCTAGCCGGCGGGTGTGTGCTGGAAACCTCTCCGATGCCTAAGTCAGTAAGCTTGACAAATAGACAAAAGCTCTGTGTATTCAGAAAGCAAAGTTGTGTGTTACCTCTCCAAAGGTGATGTTGTGAGCTTTTATAGGTTCCGTGTGGCACAATCCTAGTAGGACTTTTATTTCTCCATGCAGAGTCCTCCTAGGATTCATACTCATGAAAGATAATGCTTATCCTTCAACACCCCCCTCGCTGCTTAAACTAAGTGAGATGATTTTTACCACGGCCGAACTCCAATATGACCGAAGTAATCATGGCTATGCATAGCCGCAGAATAAGCTGAACTAGCTCTTCCTTTTATTGCTCTTACGTCTTCTTCTCATGCACAACCCATGACGTGGTTAGACCGAACTAACATGTCATGACCGGTGTAACTCCAAGATCGGTCTAATTCCAAAGTACCGTTAGACCGATCTAACTTCGATCTTCTATCGGACCGGACTAGCTTCTCAGCCTTAGGACCGGACTAACTTCAAAATATCCACATGACCGGAGTAACTTATATGGCCATGTTACTCGGCCCTTTGTACTGTGTCTCATAACGGCCCAATATTCAGCTCGGCCCAATTTTCACATAAATTACCCTCTCAATTGACCACATTTATTATATAAATTACAAATATCTAAAACCATAAAAATGATGTTAAATCATCTATTAGTACACTAGTATGTATATTAATTAGTTTATTCATATTCAAAAGTTTATTCATATTAATTAGTTTATTCATAATCATCTATTAGTACACTAGTATGTACATTAGTACAAATAGTATTATTCATATTCAAAAGTTTGATGGATTGATCATTTTTCAGCCCAACCCCAATCTTGTTAAAAAAATTACAACATATAATTTATTTATTTTTTTGTAATTTCAAATAGAATTTTGTTTTTATTTTAAATTTTAACCAAAAAAAACTTACAAATTAATTGAATGAATGATGTTAGTTAAAATTCACTGAAATTAATAATAAATAAAAAATGGAATAAAATGAAGGCTATGTGTTACTCAGCCTCCGTTTGGGAGGTGGGTTGGTTTTTTGACTTTTTGATTTTTTGGCTATTTTAGCCTGGTTTGTGAAGGGCTTTTTGACTTTTTGACTTTTTTTGTGAGAGAGGATTGTAATGATTATGGATTGGATTTGATGTTTTATTTTTTGTGGCTAAAATAGCCTATTTTGTTTTTTGTGGCTATTTTAGTCAAAAAAGCCTGGTTTTTTTCTTTCCAAACGGAGCTTTAGTGGGAAAGTGGATTTTTTTTTAGATTTTTTTAGTTATAGGATATTATTAGAGAATTTTTTTTTTTGTATTTAGGAAGATAGTTGGATTTTTTTATGGTAAGATGTGATGTTGATAAGATAAAAAATGAAATAATTATAAGATTTAATGTAATATTTTGTTTAAATTATTATTATTTTTAATTTTGTAACAAATTTATCTTTTAATGAAAAAAATAAAAATAAAAATAAAAAAACAAAAACCAAAACCAAAACCAAAATCAAACTTTCCAAGCAGGTAATTTTACATATTTATATATATAGGTGGATTGGCAAATGTTATCCACATATCCATTTGTCAATATTACCATCAACCTGTCCAAATCAATCTAATCCGTTGGTATTCTCAAATCTTTAATTTTTTTCTTTTTATATTGAAAAGTTTAAGGAAATTTTTTTTAAAAAAATATGTAGAATATAAATAAAATATACTTATATTTTATTTAATTTTATATATATATATATATATTTAAATTTCCTAACTAAATATAGTATAAATAACTTTTTCACTTTAGTATTGTCCTTTTATTTTTTTATATTTTTTTATGGTAACGATAAAATATAGGGGCCATTTGGGAACAATGAAAAAAGTCAAAGTTAGTTTTCAACTCATTTTGAGTCACGTCATCTCTCATGTTTTTTACACAAAAAAATCCAAAAAAACAAAAAAGACAACTTTAACCATCTTTTCAAAACACCTCATAAGCTCATCATAGTAAAAGACAAATCAAACAACACTTTTTTTTCCATTTAGTTATTTTTTTTAATATTTAGTTTAACATTCCTCTCTAAATTTAAATAATAGAAAAGATCCATAATATTTTTTTTAAGCTTAAGAGCATGTACAATTGGATGGCTAAAAATGTTTGTTAAAGCGTGTTATATAACAAAAAGTGATAAAAGTGAAGTCCAAAAATGTATGTTAAGGTATGTTAAGAGTTTGTTAATTTTAGACAGTAAATAATGGTGTAATTGATATATTAAAGTGTGTGTTAAGAATATATACATATATATCCCAAACCAAACCAAACCAAGCCTTAAGTCTTATCAAATGAGGTCGGCTACATGAATCCTTATTCTCCACGCGGCCCTATCAAAGGTCATTTTGTTAGATCCATATCTCTATTTACAACGTTAGCCAACGTTAATTTAGGCCTACCTCGTCTCCTAACACTCCCCTCTACCGTTACAGTATCGCATCTCTTCACTACTGCCTCTGTTGGTCTCCGTTGAATGTGACCAAATCATCTCAATCGATTATCTCTCAACTTATCTTCTATCAGTGCTAGTCCTACCCATTCCCGAATACACTCATTCATAATTATATATTATCTAGTCTTGCTACACATCCACTTTAGCATCCTCACCTCAACCACACTCATCTTATCTACTTGTTGTTTCTTGGTTGCTCAACACTCTGTCCCATACAATATCGCTGGTCTAATAGCCATTCTATAGAACTTACATTTTAGTCTAGTGGGCATTCGTTTATCGCACAGTACCCCAGACGCACTTCTCCACTTACACCATCCCGCTTTAATTGTATGGGCCATATTCGCATCAATCTCCTCCACTGTTGTGATAATCGACCATAAATAATGAAAATGTTCACTCTTAGGCAATTCTTGGTTCTCAATCTTCACTTCTCATCTGCTTTCATTATTATTGTTACTAAATTTACACTTTATGTACTCTATCTTATTTCTGTTTATTCGGAAACCATTAAATTCAAGCATTTTTCTCCAAATCTCCAACTTTGTATTAATTCTTTCTCTAGTCTCATCCACTAGCACGATATCGTTTGCAAAAAATATACACTTATCAGCCACTAAAAGATGGGTACTAATAGCTCTAATATTGGTATGAGTCCCACATGATAGGGTGTTTTACTTTTGTATTATTATTATTATTTTTTTCTTTTGATTTTCTAACCCATTAGTGTTAGTTTAGTGATACAAAATTAATAGTACCAATCATTGTTGTTCTTGGCAGGCCAAAAATTAAGTTCTGACATTAAAATTAGGGGTGGGCGCGGGTCGGTTGCGGCCACGAAATCTCCAATCCGCCATCCGTCTGCCAGATTGGCGGATTGGAGAAAATTAATCCGCATCCGTCCGCCAATCCGGCGAATGCGGATTGAGCGGATTGGCGGTTTGGCAGATGGATGCGAATCGGTTTAGCGGTTTGAAATTTTATAAATTTTCAACATAGTTCAACTTGTGCACTTCCTCAAAAAAAAAAAAAAAAGTATTACAGTCAATGACTTAAAAAAGTATTACAATTACTGCATGCCTCATCCAAAGAAAGAAAGTTTGAAACTTTAGAATATCACAATCACTGCATGCCTCATTCACATATTACAATCACAGCATGCCTCATCCACATAAAGTATTACAATCAGTGGTTCTTCAAATATAAAAACAATTCAAACCACAAAAATCATGAACAGAGCAATAGTTGAGATTGTATGTCTCTGTATTGTTACATTTATATATGTTTTGAAAACTAAAACCAACCAGCATATTTCATATTTTCTATTTATTACTTTTAGAGTTAGATTTAAAAACCAAAAAATATAGATAAATAATACGTTTATTTTTTTCCATATATCATATTTTCTATTTATTACTTTTAGAGTTAGATTTAAAAACCAAAAAATATAGATAAATAATACGTTTATTTTTTTCAATTCAAAAAATATATTCAAGTTGAAAACTTTTTTTCAACAGAATATTTGAACTCTTTTTCAATTGAAAACACAAACAAAATATTTAAACAAATTGAAAACACAAAATCTTATAAATTACTAAGGGTACTCGCGGTTTGGCGGTTCGGTTGCGGCCAAAGGAACCTCAAATCCGCCATCCGTCCGCCAAATTGGTGGATTGGAGAAAATCAATCCGCAACCATCCTCTCGTCATCACGCATCCGTCCAAAATGCGGCGGATCGGTTCGGTTCAGTCGGTTTTGGCGGATCGGTATATCCGTTGCCCACCCCTAAAATACACATTAACAGCTCTATTACTGATGCCATAAGATCGTCCATGTATCTCACCCACAACCATATATCTATATAATAAGGGAGAAGAGTTTTTGAATTTGTGTGAAAATGTATCAGAGATACATTTCAATTTAACGGCTGAGATGAGTTGTTTTTAAGCATGAATGGCTGAGATGCTTTGTAATATTTTCAACATCCCGCCCAAAACAATCCTGTCTCCTGCACCCAAACATTATTTGCACACACACTCTCTCTCTCTCCAACTTCTCAGGTCTCAAGAGCTCTCTCTCTCTTCATCTCCCTCCTCTCCACTGTCGCTCCGCTTCTACCGTTGCGCCGCCTTCGATCTCCACCGACAGCCACTCTTATCTCCTCTCCCTCTCAGATCTCAGATCATCCTCTGTCGTCACCATGTCTTCCCAAAGTAAACGTAGAGAGATGGTGAAACTGATATGGTTCTCTCTCAGATAGGGTTCTCTCTCACTCTCTTTCCTTCGCATTACAACATCCTGTCTCCTTGCATCAACTGAATTGGAGACCGCCGTGAACTTAGTCCGCGGGGACTTGGTAATGAGGGTTTTGAATTATCGTTTTTTGGTTCATTCTATTCCTTCTATTTCACAGTTATGACGCAGAGTTCACGCCACAAATCTCACAAACAGAGCAAACACAGTTCCAGAGACGCTCGAGAACACTCGGAATCAAAATTGGATGTGAAGATGAAGGAACAGAACGGCAAAGAGGAAGGTTCAGGTACGGTTTGTAGGGATTCGGTCTCGAGCGAGAACCGTAAAGAACTGTCTGGTCATGCTAATGGTGATGCTTCGGAAGATTATGTCGGTTCGAAGCGTCGGAAGAGAAGGCCGATTTGGATAGGTGGAATAGTTGTAGGGATGAGATGAAAGTGGAAAGTTCAAGGATCGATGGGGATAAGACTTCAAAGTCGAAAGCTTTGGTTGATTCGAAAAGTAAAAGTAGTAAAAAGCACGATGGTGGTGGTGGTGAGAAAAAAGATGAGAGTGTGGGTTTAGTGGGAGAGAAAAATGAGAGTAAGAGTAGCAACAAAGTTGAGTCAAAACAGAAGTCTGAAAAAGATTTGGGGCGAAAAGATAATGATTCAAAGGAAAAGGAACGTGTGTTAGAGAAGAAGATTCATGAAACAGAGGTAACTGTCGATGGTGGAGAGCGACAAGGCAAACGTGGTAGAGAAAATACGGGTAAGGTAACTAATTGTTGTGTTTTTAGTCGATTGATGTTTTGGATTGATGGTGGTGTTGTTGGTGTTGTTTTGTTTGTTCAATTTTTCACTATATAAAGAAAAAATCTATAATCATACATAATTGAGATTGTAAATAGCCTGTTGACAGAAAGAAAATATCGCAATGGGATTGCTCTACATATTCTTTGATTTGGAAATTGCAGAGATTAAGACCTGTGTTTGTTTTTAAATGTAACAAGTCAATGAGGAAGTCAACAATAGTACCTTGTGAGTTTGTGTGAAGATATGCTTAGCAGTAGGGCTGCAAACGAGCCGAGCCGAATCGAGCATCATCGTGCTCTAGCTCGGCTCGAGCTCGAATCGAGCTCAACATTACTTAGCTCGAGCTCGACTCGTGAGACTGAAGCAAAACTCAAGCTCGGCTCGTGTGGCTCGTGAGGCTGAAGCAATGGTTGGTTGTTGGCTTTCTCCACTTATATAGAGCCCTTGTCCCTTTTGATTTTGTCAAAGAAGCGATGTGGGATACTTGATAAGGCAACTTGAAGTTTGTTCAGTGGCTGTCCCACATCGAATGATAAGGCAACTTGAAGGAATCTTACCCATTATAAATTGTTTTTCATTCTCTTACTTCTTTTTTGCTGGACAATGCTTTGTTAATTGTTTATTATTTTTTAATAACTTGGAGATTTTATTATTTATTGATGACTTGGAAACTGGTTATAATTAATATTTTCAATTTTTTTTTGTGACTAATATAATATAATATAATGTAATGTAATGGAGCTGAGCCTAATCGAGCCGAGCTCATATTAGCTCGAGCTCGACTCGTTTAATAATCGAGCTTGGTAACAAAGCTCGAGCTTGGCTCGTTTGGTAATCGAACGAGCTTAAATGAGCTGTTAACGAGCCGAGCTTCGAGCTGTTTATGAACAGCTCGGTTCATTTGCAGCCCTACTTAGCAGTATGCAGCATGATTTAATCTTTACTACACACACACTAATACAGAGAGGGAGATCGTATGTACATATATAAATATTTTATTGAATTTTATAGATATTTTGTGGTTCAAGATCAACTGGATTCGTTCATTTCTAAGTTTGATTTTCATTCATTGGCATTTAAATTCGCTTCTGTAACTAGAAATTTGAACAATTCTATGGAGTTATTCATTTTTCCTTTAGTGTTTTATGAGTCTCGATCTGGGTTTTTTCTTGATTTCATGGTAATTGACTAGCAAAGAAAAAATTTAAGAATTTCATTGTCTTTTGAGAATTTCATTGTCTTAGCTCTCAATATTTTAGCTTACAATCTTAAAAATCAAAAAAAAAAAAATTAAAAGTATACTACCTATACCAAAAAATAAAAAGAAAAAAATTTCTCTCTATTTTGTACAATTTTTCATAAAAAATTAAAAAGTTATTCAAAATATATTAATTTTTTTACCTTATATTTTAATAAAAAATTTAAAATTATTAAAATAACTCATTCCAAACGAGGTCTAATATCCTTTAAAACCTTGATTTATTTATTTGTGCATTTATATTTTGAATCGGCCCGTTAGGTAATACATAATTGGCTTAGTTATGTGATTGCCAAGGAACCCAGTTGCTGCAACTGTGTAATATTTTTTTTCTTTCTCCCATATATTTTTATTCTAGGATTGCCAAAAGGTTTACAAAACAATAAATGGAAATTTGTGCTTAGCTCTGTACTTATTCCATAGTTGATCCTTTAGCTATTGGTTGACATTGTGTTATGCATTTTATATCTATTTGAAAATTGAGTACGTTGTGATTTTTGAAATGGGTTTGATGGGTTTTGATTTCTGAAATTTGAAATCGATTTGATGGGTTTAATTCGCAGAAATTCGAAGTTAAATGGATTTCTAATAATTTGATTTCTAATTTCTAATAATTTGTCTTCCCAAAGTAAGCGCAAGAGATGGTGAAACTGTAAGTCTCTAACTTTAATTCAGTGTAAACTATTTTAATTGTTGTGGTTGGAGTGGTTGTGATTTCTGAAATGGGTTTGATGGGTTTTGATTTCTAATAATTTGAAATGGAATTGATGGGTTTATTTAAATTTGTATGAAACAATAATATTAGGAGTCAATAACTCAAAATACACCCACACAAATATGAAACAACATTTGATGATAAAGAGGATTACATGGTATTCTTATGTGTTTGATTTCTACTTTCAACTAGAAATTCATTGCTCTTCTACAACCATGGCATTCTTCTGCAACTGTGTAATATTCTTTTTCTTTCTCCCATATATTTTTATTCTAGGATTGCCAAAAGGTTTACAAAACAATAAGTTGAAATTTGTGCTTAGCTCTGTACTTATTCCATAGTTGATCCTTTAGCTATTGGTTGACATTGTGTTATGCATTTTATATCTATTTGAAAATTGAGTACGTTGTGATTTTTGAAATGGGTTTGATGGGTTTTGATTTCTAATAATTTGAAATGGATTTGATGGGTTTAGTTAAATTTGTATGAAACAATAATATTAGGAGTCAATAACTCAAAACACACCCACACAAATATGAAACAACATTTGATGATAAAGAGGATTACATGGTATTCTTATGTGTTTGATTTCTACTTTTAACTAGAAATTCATTGCTCTTATTACAACCATGGCATTTTTCTTCCCATAAAATTGTTGATTTGTAGGTATACGTTTGATATCGTTTGTGGTTGGAGTGGTTGTGATTGCATCCATAAACTATTTTGATTTGTAGGAAAATATCATCCATTATGCTTGCTATATGTATGATTTGTAGGTATATGATTGAACACAACAAAAATATTTTTTATTTTTATTTTTTTGGTCATGTGTCATGTGTTAATGATGAAATGAAAAAAAACATACCTACAATTTGATGAATGAATGTGTTAATAGTTAGGATTTGTATGGCCAAGTTAGACAACCATGGCTTTAAATTTTTATTCTGTTAATTGTTAGGATATGAATCTTTTTCAGTTAATTGATTTTGAAATTCTGTTAATTGATTTTTTTCTTTTTTATGTTATCCCGTTACCTTTCTTTTGTTATTATAAATTTTTCTTTTGTTTAACGCCAACCAGGTGTAGCATACCTAAGTGAAATATGTATTAGAAAGGTAACGGGATAACATTAAATTTGAAACTCTTTTTAATTATTTGAAGCAGGTAATTTGGATTGAAGGGTGGTTGCATAACTGAAGACCTCAATCTTCTGGACACATCAGCAATATTGCACATGGAACCGAGTAATCGACTTGATTTCTATTTACCTAATTAGTTTTGTGTTTAGTATAGAAACATAAATTTACTGTTTTTTGATATTGTCAATTTCTTTTTGTGCTGCTTCTTCTTCTCATGTTGACTCCTCTGAGTATATCGAGTATATCAAGTATACCATCATACTGTTCAAGCTTTAATTAATCTCATTAGTGAAGGTCTTTTTATTTTCTTAGAATTCTCCATTAGTATTATTTTTAATTTTTAATTTTTTCCCCCATCATTTATTGTTTCAATTATGAAATTATTTTTGAACATTAATCCCAACATCAATTTTATAGCAACTGTTATCCCAACATTAATCTCAAAATGTTGTCATTGGGGTTTGAAGTAATATTGTTTGTTTCATGTCATTGGGGTCTTTTTATTGTCTCGGGATTAATCCCAACATCAATTTTATAGCAACTGCCATCCTAACATTAATCTCAAAATGTTGTTATTGGGGTTTGAAGTAATATTTTCATGTCATAGAGGAGATATTATATAAAATTTTCTTTCCTCTTCACAATGCTCTATTGATTTTGCAATGTTTGTTTTAATGATAGAAGAGTTTTCTTTTTCAATGAGTTATTTTTTGATTGTTTTACCTGTTTTAATAATAGAGGTTTATTTATTTTCTATTTTTTTTAATTAAGGTGTGAATTAAATTTTTCTTTCCTCTCATTGCTAAAGGAGAAATAATCTTGGGATTAATCTTGGGATTAATCTTCTGCTGTCCAATTTTATTACGGGTATACACTGTCATCCCAACATTAATCTTGGGACAAAATGTTTGGAGATATTGGGATTAATCCCAACATCAATTTTATAGCAATTATCATCCCAACATTAATCTGAAAATGTTGTCATTGGGGTTTGAAGTAATATTTTCATGTCATAGAGGAGATATTATAAAAAATTATATTTCCTCTTCACAATGTTTTATTGATTTTACAATGTTTGTTTTAATGATAGAAGAGTATTCTTTTTCAATGATCTATTGTTTGATTGTTTTACCTATTTTAATGATAGAAGTTTATTTATTTTCTATTTTTTAAATTAAGGTGTGAATTGTTTTTCCTGTTTTAAGATATTATATAAATTTTTCTTTCCTCTCATTGAAATATACAATTGTTAATTTTTGAAATTCTTTGCTTCTCTTTCATTTTTGATATCATTGTTTTTACCAATTACCAAATAGAAATTTCCAACTCTAGAGCAGTAATTGAATTTATTCTCACTAAGGTAATCTCTTTCTTCTTCTCTTTCTGCTCTGTTTTGTTACCCACAAAAGGTATTGTGGGTTTTTAATTCTTGGAACTCTAGAAAATGAAAACCTCAACATCATTTTGATATGTAAGAAAACTCACCATTTTGATAGCAATTTGTTAGAAACCTTTTTTTATTCTTCAAGTCGCTGCCTCATTTCTTAGGGGTTTGTTTGGTTGCTCACTTCTAATTCTGTATAATCTGAACTGCTAACCCCAAATCTTGACAAAACTTTACCCTTATGAAACATTCATGTATGTGGATGTATGCTTAAGTATTTGGTTGTAATCTTTATTTAAAAAATAGTACAGTTAATTTTATTTAATGAACCTTGGGTTTAATTTTAGTTATATTTTCCCTTTAACATTGATTTCAAAGAAGCAATTAGAACCTGTTTTTGAGTTTTGAGATCCTTGGGTTTCATTACTTTGGTTTTTCTATGTTGTGTGCTTTTGGATGATTCATGTAACATTTTTTTAATTAAGATAGTATTGTGTTATGTATAGTTCACAAGTTGAGGCTCAATTTTACCATTAATTGGTCGACCGACTTGACAAGATTGGATGAAAAAAAACTCACCCGCTTCTAATCGAATTATGATTTGCAACTCGTTTCGGAATTATGGTTTGAATGAGAGTGAAAAAAAATTGAGTCGACTCGGCTCTTTAGCTCTTTGGGTTGGGTGTGTAAAAAAAAAAAAAAAAATTAAAGTCTGTTTCGAAATTATAATTTCTAATTAAAAA